GGATAGGTGTTATGTGGGTGAAGCGAGGTGCACCCACAATCGCTCGCGCGGCCGCATTCTGGACTATGTAAAATAATAGCCTATTTTTTAAAAAGTTTTATTCTATTTTTAGTTACCTACAGTCCAATTATTTCTAGCTATCATTAAATTAATTTGGAAGGAAGAAATATATTTTAACTCCTAATATCACCAACATTTCATATTCTAACTAGAAAATCATATCTTGATTTGAAATTTATAGCAGTAAGTTAAAGGGGCAGCTATACCCCATGTCTCCCCATTTTCAAAGAAAAGAAAACAATTTTGTCTTTCAGTTTACATTGTATGATAGAGATAGCAAATGAAATTGGTATGCTAGAAGAAAATGTTACTTGCATAATGGCAACAGTCTGCCTCTTTTTCAAAAATTGGGAATATTATTTAGTAGTGAACCTAGTGTACAACGTCTACACAATTTCCACATATTATGAAAGACACAGAACATTTTGTAAAGCCAAGAAGAAAGATTTCCAAGGTGAATCTTCTATTCTGCTACACAAAATATATAAAAGCTTGTTTGAAGAAAATACTTTAAAGTATAAAGTTTAAAGGTTGATAGAATTATCAGTATTACCTAAACAAAATGATATATGTTATAATCAGGAAACTGTATCATGGTTCTTGTATATGCTGTATAGTACAATACAAATTCTGTAAAATCGTAATATTAGAACATTTTGCCAGAATGTTACTTAGCAATGTAACATGTGGTATATCAAAATACTCTCCTTGTACAGATGGCCTATGATATGGGAGATGGCCTATGATATGGGAAAACAAAGCCAAGATTCACTAGCATCTACCATTTAATGCAAACACAGCCATTTGTAGGAAGTTTATCATAGCATTTAGTGAAATTATTCCATGTTGTTTACAATTATGAATTAATGATAACATCTGACAGAATGACCCATCAGTCATTGGATTTGTTCATTTTTGAATTATCTAAAACAAGGAATCAATACTTTGATTCATTATATAAATTCACAACTGCTTTCTATGGGAGAAAACATCTAAATATTTATAATTAGAACAAATAAATATATTGACTTTAATAGAAACAGTGAAAAGTCAAGTATATGTGTAAAGCATGATTACGTACAAAACAGTTACATTTATTATTCAAATTGCAATTCATGTAACAATGCATATTCATTAATGGAAATTATCTTTATTGTGCCTTAAAAATGCCACTCTTTACATGCTGCACAATTATAGTATAATTGCAATATATTATTTTCTTATACTTGTGACCAGTATACCTGGTCATATGCTCCAAACTGACTTATTATGAAATTATGTTAAAAGCCATAAAAGAAAATAACATTCAAGTAGATCTATTTGAATTACATATCCAAATAGAATTAAGGAATTAATTATCTAGTCCTACTTCATTTATTTAATGATTATGTAATCTGTTGATATGGAGAATGTTTGAAAAATGTAGCATTATCATTTAAAATGAATATTTAAAGTCCACACATCTTAAAAGTAATTGAGGTTGAGAAACACTGTTCTAAAGAACCTATGCAAGGTAGAGAGTAAGTATCTATGATATTGTTTCAGTAACACCTCCAGTCCTCCAACGTAGCTTCTGGGTGAAAAAGCACAAGACAGAAAACCCATAGTAAATGTGAAGATCGCAGTAATAGAGTAATAGAAACAGAAAAGGATAGCTTAAGCTTGCAATATATGAGTTATTTTGAAAAGAGTATTTATATTTAAATGAAATGTCATCTTTCTATTTTTAAAGCCACAACATAGAGCAAATATTATCCATTTTAATATGAAGATTTAAGACTAATTGAAATTTTCAGAGCTTCACATAACGAGGAGGATGCATAGTTTACATAGAATAGGTAACATTATTTAACAGACAATTTGGAATAGTGATATTAGGAGACTGAATTTCAGTCACTCCTTAAGCACAATGTCAGCTAGGGATCCATGGGACAGTTATTCTCTTTCAGCCCTTGGAAGGAGGCAATAGCAAACTACTCCCCCCGCCCCAACCCAAAAAATATCTTGCAAAAAAACTTAAGGAACTAATCTAGGAAAAATTGACAGAAGTCAAAAACTGAAAATATGAAAACTCACACACACAAAGACATACACACAAAGTTTATAATAGCTCATAGTACTCAGTTGTAAAAGGAATTGGTATTTAAGATGCTAAACTTCCTAACTGAAAAAGATGAAGATAGCAAGGGAAGAAATGGGATTAATGTTTAATGAAGTCATCAAAGTAGGTAGTCATGAAGGACCATTCACCTATTTTTCTTTAAAACTAATTTTTTTTCTCTATAAATCATTTTAAAAGAAAAGACACTGTATATTACAATTTCTAGAGAACTGAATTTATGACTTTGGTACTTCTAGAGCAAATACTCTGACTATAGTGATCCAGATTCCCAGTTTTTAATATGGTGATCTGTAGTGAAGAAGCTTTTGTATGCCAATTGTTTGCAACTAATCCTCTACTCTATTGAAATCTATAGTACATTATCTTACAGAAGCCTGGAACAACCAGGAAGAGGTAGTTCCTACCGGTTTGGCTGAACCAGTAGTGGTATGCTAGCCTGGGTCGCAGTACTGGCAGTGACCCAGACTGCCCACGCCTCCG